TCTCTCTCTCTCTCTCCTCTCTCTCACTCTATCTTTAAAAAAAATAAATAAATAAATAAATAAATAAAAATTGTATTTATTTTTAAAATATTTATTTATTTATTTATTTTTTTAGTTGTAGGTGGACACAACACCTTTATTTTATTTTTATGTGGCGCTGAGGATTGAACCCAGGGCCTCACACATGCTAGGCTAGAGCTCCATCTCTGAACCACAACCCCAACCCTCCAAATAAAAATTTTTAAAGTGCTGGGGATGAAGCTCAGTGGTAGAGTGCCCCTGGGTTCAGTCTCAAGTACAGCAAACAAGCGTAGAAAAAAATAAGTTGTGGCCAAAACAAACTGTATCTGTGTAAACCCCTCAGTGATCTATATTGTATGCGGTGACAATCCAACCAGATCATGACAGAAAAGGCAGGGAACCAGACAGACACATCAACATTGCGTTTGCAGACACTTGGGTTACTTATATGCACTTTCTAGCCCCAAACTCACTTTCACCTCAAGAATTCCACTAATACTTATTATTTTCTTAGTTGTCATCTCGAGGACCTAGTGAAACCATCCTGAGTGTTCCACCGCTTCTCACGCCTTTGATCTCCAGATTTCTGTTTTGAAACCAATCAGCTCCCTCCCTGCACCCAAAGTCCATATCCACTACCTTATTCAGAAGTCCACGGAGATCAGCCACCTTTCTTGATTTTTAACAAGTGTGGAAAATTCATCTCCGTAGGTGGGGTTCCGGGGTAAAGGGATTTTGCATTATCTGAGTAGCAGCAGCCATGCAGATTTCTAGAGGTCGCCTGTACTATATTTCACTCATAGGCAACTTGGCAACAGAACACGGGTAGCATTCGGCATTTGATTGCAGCTTTCTTCAAAGGTGAGATGTTGCTTGCAAAAGTAGGACGAGTGGAGAGGTGTGGGCAACACATTGCTAATCATCTGCCAGTCTGCTGCCTGCTCAGACCCCACCCGGGAGCGGGAAGGAGAAGCCTGGGCATTTCCTGAGGCAGGGCTTTCTACAGTTAATCCTCGGTGACAGCACACACATCTCCTGCTTGAGAGAAGTCATCAAAAGGTTCCTTTTGAATGTGTTATGCTCTCCCAAAGTGGGGAAGCAGAAGGATTGCTTAGATGAGCAGATCTCCATTCCCAGCAAACCCCGCTGGTGACAGGAAGGCTGTGGCTGAGTCCCGCTATTCTTCCCACCTGACCACACCTGTGGGCCAATGTGATCTTTTGCCCAGTGATGTTCTCTTCAGCTGGTGATTTTTTTTGGGGGGGGGCGGGCGGGGTAAATGCAGTTTGCCTCTTTGAAAGCTGCAGCAGTAGAGATCCTAACAGTGTAGCATCTCACTGAAATGTATGGAGGGCTTACTGAGTGCCCGGCTTTGTGCCAAGAGTTGGGATATAATGACAAGACATCGTCACTCCCTCAAGAGCGTCATGAAGTAGTTGGGGAAACTGAGACTAAAGAGTTGATTCTGAGTAGTTGGAGTGTTGGGGTTTTGTTTTCGTGTGCTGCCTGGATTCCCTTCGCTAGGCTGGTCCCTTCATACCTGCTGTGTGGGTGGGATGCTAGTTTCACAAGAGTTGCTCTCAGCTGATGGGGCTGCCTCTTCTGGTCAGTTAACCCACCTCTGGGCAGCTCACATCTCAGGACTGGTATAGAAAAAACGAGAGGCCAGCCTCTTGGCATCAAGGTGGGGAGAGAACATTTTGTTATGTTATTGATGCTTCAGAGGACCACAGCCACACACCCACTGTGATCAGGCCAGGGCTAGATATCACATGCATCCACGCCCGGCTGGGTACTTTCCCCTTTTCTGCTTCAGACATATGCAGCCTTTCCTAAGAGCATCCTACTCTAAGCCACTCTTGCTCAGGCCCTGCTTCTAGGGAACCTGGGCCATAATGATGTTATAAGGACAAAATTAGGCAGAAATCTTCCAGAAATGTTGCACCCATTTTTACCTTTTTATGTTTTGGGTTTTTTTTTTTTTTTTTTGGTACTGGACATTGAACCCAGGGACGCTTAACCACTGAACCACATCCCCAGCCCTTTTTTATATTTTATTTACAGACAGGGTCTTGCTGAGTTGCTTAGGGCCTTGCCGAGTTGCTGAGGCTGGCTTTGAACCTGTAGTACTCCTGCCTCAGCCTCCTGAGCTACTGGGATTACAGCCGTGTGCCCCTGCACCAGCTCATCTTTGTCTTTTTAATCAAAAGATCTCAAATATAATTTTGCACACTTTTAAATAAATTCCCCCCTTTAATTTATTTCTTGTTAACATGACATTGAACTAGATGATCTTCCTACCAACTCTGCATCTTCAACTTTAAAGCATCATTTGGGGATGAAGTAGAAAGAGAAGAGGACCTGGTTTCAAACTCAGACCCACACCTAACTGCTAAGGGTCTTGTGAGCTACTTGATCTTGATAGGCTGCATCCCCTTCATCTGCTGAGTGAGGAAGTAATGTTGATGATCTATGGCAGCCCTGGGGACTAAATGAAATGATCTAGACTGAGAAATATAATAGGATTCCTAGTGATAAGTCATAGCTGTTACTGCTGAAAATATTATTTTACTGCCATATTAAAATAGGGATGCCTTCAGCAGCTGCAGAGGCCTTATAGATAGCTGTCCCTACATGAAAGGGTCCTGGACCACTGTGTTTTCTTAGTGGTCTTGTTTGTTTCTTTCCCTGCTTTCAGGCTGTCGGCTCTCTTGAACAGTTTTCTCCAGCATTTAAATATGCTGGCCCTAATCTCTTATGGGTTGGAGACTCCTTCTCATCAGACTTAATAAAATCGATTGAGTTTTCTTGTTCCTGTTCTTGTTAATTCTCTTGGTCCAGTCTGACTTGGTACATGATAAGTTGTCAATGTGTAGCTGTCAACTAAATTGTGGACTCAGAACACAAGGACAGTCTTCATCATCCATCACCTTGAATACCCAAACCAGTGCTGGCAGACAGCAGGGACCCAATACATGCTAGTTGGGACACGCTTCTTTGGAATACAATTTTAATAAGGATTGAACGTGAAATGTAAGTAAAGAATCTCAAAATGAGGGCTAAAAAGTCTGATGCATGAATCAAAAGTCCATAAATTTTAGTTCTGGGTGGTCCAAGTGTGGAGGCAAGTTATTCTGAAATTAAAAGCTGGCATTAAAACAGTGAGGCGTGGTGGCACATACTGTCATTCCAGCAACTCAAGAGGCTGAGGCAGGAAGATCTCAAGTTTGAGGCCAGCCTAGGCAATTTAGTGGGACCCTGTTTTGAAATAAAAACTAAGAAGCACTAGGTCATAGCTCAGTGTAGGGCATATTTGGGTCCAATCTCCAGTACCATTAAAGGGGTTAAAACATGTGCATACTGGCAGGGGAAAGGAGATGAATTTTACCTTTCAATCATGTTAATAAGTCTCAGAATATTAAGATTCTGCTTCTCCTTTCCTTGATCCCCACAATGGGCAAAGTCTCTTAATAGTATAAAGCTTGCGAACAATAAGGAATCCCAAAGGAAAAGCCACGTGGGTGTTTGTAGCTCCTAGTCACACTCCTGTCATTATCCTTTGATGTCTTTCTTGTCTATTTCTTGAAATGACACAGATTATTCTGAGCTGTCTTTGAGCTCAGTCATCCTTTGCTCTCAGAAGACCAGACAGGAGCCAGATGAGAAAGAGCTAGAGATGCTTTGTCAGCTTCTTACTGTTCAGGCCACCAGGAAGAGAGAGAGGACAGCCGGTCCCTCTGAGATCAAACTCCAGAAACTGCCGCACTGGTACATTTTGTGCTCACAACAACTGAACTGGTTAAACAACTGCCTGACCCTGGGATTGCTGGCCGGGAGCCCAGGTTTGGTCTTCTTATCTGTCTAACAGGAACCTACAATGCAAAAGTCTCTTCTGGGCCACTTGAGGCCTAGTAAGGGAATATTTCCTTTCTTTCTTTCTTTCTTTCTTTTTTTTTTATCTTAAAGGCCCAGCTGCTCATGGGAAGATCTAGCTAAAGCCAAGTGGAGATGGAGGCGTTGCCTCTGAGTCCTTTCTGATGCAGGTTTGGATGAAGGCTCACACACATGACCACATTCGTCCCTTGATCCAGTGGCTCTCAGCCTGGCTGCCCAACAGGACCTTGGCAGTGCTCTCAATTGCCCAAGTGGGAGCCAAAAGCACATGCAGCAGCTCCCTGGGGGAAGACCACCGCAGCGGTGCACAACCGAGGCTGAAAATGACCTGCCTGCATAACATGAAGGGTCCACTTCATGCTTGGGACATAACCCTGGCTACTCTGCCACTGCAGCTTGTTTTAAAATGGACATGGGGGGGCTGTGGTTGTGGCTCAGCAGTAGAGCGCTCACCTAGCATGTGCAAGGCCCTGGGTTCGGTCCTCAGCACCACATAAAAATAAAATAAAGATATTTTTTTAAAAAATGGACATGGTTTTCTTTCCTTTCTCTTTCCCCTCTCCCTGTCCCTAATCTTAGGGGAAACAAGATTATCCTTCTTCCCATCCTAGACCACAGGAATGAAGTCATTCAGATTTTAAGGGGCTGGGGTTGTGGCTCAGTGGTAGAGCACTCGCCTAGCATGCACGAGGCACTGGGTTGGATCCTCAGCACCACATAAATGTAAAATAAAGATAGTGTGTCCAGCTAAAACTTAAGAATAAACATTTAAAAAAAAACCAGATTTTAGGAATGTCACCAGAAGATCTAAGAAATGACCATCCCTCAGAGTCCTATGTAGGTTACGGCCCCTGACACACTGGAAGGTAGGCTTTGAATCACCTCTGGAAAAGGCCCTCCGCCTCCCACAACAGAAAGAATCACAGCCTCTGGGATAGGAGTCCCCTGTGCTTCCTCCTTTGCTAGCAAAGCAATGAAACTTCTTTTTCATTTTTCTCGAAACCACGTCCTCATTATTGGTTTGGAATCGAGGACAAGGACACCCCAGCAAAGTCCACTTTAGAGGAGTTTAAAAGATTCCAAATGATTGGACCCAGAGGAGAGGGGAGACTGTGACTTTAGGTGTCTTCTTCATTTGTAACCAGATCAAGAATGAATGTGGGGCTGGGGATATAGCTCAGTTGGTAGAGTGCTTGCCTAGCATGCACAAGACCCTGGGTTCAAACCCCAGCACCACCAAAAAAAAAGAATGAATGTGGCCCTGTGCTAGAGGAGAACTTTCTATTTGACATCACAATCCGGAGGTGTGGGTTCTGGTGCTGCTGCGTTCTTTGGGCTTCCATATTCTCATCTTTAAAATGGAGATTAAAATATCTCCTTTGGGCTAGGGTGGTGGCTCAGTGGTAGAGCACTTGTCTAGCATGAGTGAGGCACTGGGTTCTATTCTCAGCACTGCATATAAATAAAGAAAATAAAGTCCATTGACAACTAAAAAAATATTTAAAAAAAAAAAAAAAAA